CATGGGGGTTTTCGGGGCACCGTCGTTGAAACCTACGGCATTGCGGTGCAATGGTAAGTGCATCAAGGACTTGGAAGTCCAAGGCAACATATATCTATATATAATCCCGTGACAAGCTCACGGACAACGACCTGGTGCGCATCACGTACAGCTCTGATGGCCGCGAGCAGGTTGATGGCGGGAAGCAGCTCAAGAAATCCCAGCACTACCCCGGGACAACTACTCGGGGCTGAAGCTCAAGAAGTGCAAAGCCAACACCGCCGGCGAGCCGACCTTGGGCCTCTTCAAGAAGGCGAGCTCCAAGACAGACTGTGCACCCCTGGCGGAGATGCAGAGCGTGCTGGCCTACCTTACTTCCCAATGACCTATGCAACGCATTTGGCGTCGCTTAAACTCTAGACGCTTCGCGCAACCTCAATCAGGGAAGTGGGCAGCACACAGAGGAAAGGTCCCCCAGTGGAGGCCTCTTGGAGCATCTTGGGTGCCTCGGAGAGCTTCTCGGGGCCTCTTGGGGGTCTCTTGTGAGCATCTTGGAGGCCTCTTCGGGGCCTGTTGGGGCCTTCTGGGCGCCCCTTGGTGCCCTCTCGAAGCGCTCTTGGGAGCCTCGGGAGCGCTCTTGGGGCCATTTTGGAGGACATCGATCAAACGAGAAACGAGCATTAGTTAGCGTTGCCCCTCGGGGGCCCAACACATCGCCTCTTGGGGCGCTCTTGGGTCGCTCTTGGAGCGCTCTTGGGGCCGTCTTGGGGCTCTCTTGAGCCCCCCTTGGGGCCCTCTTGGGCCATCTTGGAGCCATCATGGGGCTTCGGATGGCCACCGGAAGCGGAAAGGCGAGAAAATCAAACATTTAGATGTTCCTGAGGTTTTGGCCTCTTCGGGGCCTCGTGGGGGAGCCCTTTGGCCACTTGGAGCAGTCTTGGAGCGGTCTTGGGGCATCCTGGAGCATCGTGGGAGCCATTTGGGACATCTTGTGATATCTTGAGCCATCTTGGAGGTCATCTTGGGCTCTCCCAGGCGCTCTTGGAGTCATCGTAATATATCTTAATCAGTGCCCCCCCCCCCAAGAGGCCAACTTGTAGCTAAAACCTTAGTATCATCAATGATTTGGCATTCTCGCCGAGGCCTCTTGGAGCATCTTGGGTGCCTCTGGGAGGTCTCTTGGGGCCTCTTAGGGGATCTCTCTGGGGCATCCTGGGGGCCTCCTGGGGCTTCCGGGCCACCTCTTGGAGCCCTCTTGGGTGCCATCTTTGGGCCATCTTGGGCGGGGTCAATCACAGGAGGGGGGTCCCTAATTAGGGCCACCACGCCCATGAGGCTGATAGGATTTTCCATTGCCGCCGGCCTGATTCTGCGCACAGCGCGCAAGCATCTGCATGTTTGAATTGCACATGTGCCCTCATCTTCCCTCCACCTCCTCAAACGATTTCAATTCCCAAGCGCCCCGCCCCGACTTTCCTGTCTGCATGCTCTATCCTGCCCAATGTACACCGCGCTGCCTGCCAGCGCTCGGCCCCGGGGAAGATGACGAGAGGAAGGGGTGGCGACGCAGACAATGCCTGTGATTCGGCATGGCCTCGGGGATCAACGTTCGTAGCTGTTTGGCCTTTGGGGCCCCTCCTCGTCGCCGTGGCTGGACGCGCCGCGGAAACCTGTTGAGCGTGGGCCCCGAGCGGGACCTGGCGGATTTCGCCGAGTTGGAAGCGGGATGGGGCGGCGAGGATGAGGGCGAGGATGGGGCGGAGGCGGGGTAACGCAGGGGCAGCGGCGTAGAACATGCAAGGAGGACACAGGGGAAGGACAAGTATGATGAAGAGATTGGGAAATCCAACCAACTTCTCCGACTTCGAACCCCCATGTGTTGAACGCGCAACTCTCTTCCCTCATCGTCCCTTCCCCCCTCCTTCCCCCCCTCCTGCCACCTCCCCATCGCGAGGGTGTCGCTACTCGACTCTACTCCCCCATGGCGCCAATTTGCTTGCCCACTCATCTGCCCATTCCTTCCCCCGTTGCGCCAAGTGTGGCATGGGCCGCCGCATCGCCCTGAAGAACGTCCAGCAGTGCGCAGGACAGCCGGCTTGCCCTCTGGCCCTGCTCCGAAGTGTGGTGATATGGTGCGGTCTGTGCTCCCAAAGAGTCCTTGCACTTTGGTCAAGTAACGCATTGGCCCTGGCTGGGAACCTGGAGGGGCCACGGCAAGTTTTATCATTGCCATCAAACGCTCCATGGTGCACGGTTGGACTGTTTGGGGCCCATGCGACAAAACCAACGCGAAGCATTACGGCGCGCGATGTTTGCGTGCACGTACCCGTGAAACCGTGAAGCCGTGAAATATCAGTGAAACAGCAGTGGAATATTCGCTGCGTGTCGCGCTTCACGCCATTTCACGCCATTGCAGAACATTGATGCAACATCATAGGATTGTCCATCGGTTTGAACCAAACTTAGCATGTCAGACAGCCCATAAGGTCCCCGATTTTACGCCATTGCAGAACATTGACGCAACACCATAGGATTTCCCATCGGTTTGGAACAAACGTAACATGTCAGACAGCCCACGAGGCCCCCGATGGCTCCGCGACGGCCCAGCCATGCGGTGTAAGAGGCCACGAGAGGGGCCCGCGCTAGGCAACCCCAACATGCACTGCGAGCCTGTTGCCCCGGAGGCCTCAAGAGCCCCTCGGCAACCCCTGATGCGCCCCCGAGGGGCCCCAAGATGGGCCCGCGATGCCCCCATGTGGCCCCCATGGTCCCCCAAGAGGCCGTGAGATGCATGCCGCGATGCCTGATGGCATGATATCGGAATCGGCTCCCATGATCAAGTGGAGCCCCTCAGTCGCTCCTTCCATGCCCCTTCCCTCTCGCCCATTTGGTGACCGCCATCGCTCTTCCTCCCCCCCCCACCCCTGTCCCACCCATCTTCCCCCCCTTCCCTTTCCTCCCCTTCCCTTCTCTTCGCTCCCCCAATGTCACATCTTGCAACCTTCACCCCCTCCATCCTTGCGCTGCTGGGTGGCTCATCTGGGCTCAAATCTTATAGTTGCCTCCTCCTGGGCGCGGCCCTGGCGATGTGTCGGCGGCGAGCCGCGCCGCAGCAGGCCATGTGGGGGCAGGCAATAGGACCCGGGAGAAGGTACCATCCCCTTTGGAGGCGATGCAGAAACTCGCCAAGTTGCAGGATGCCGCCGCAGGAAACGCAGCAACGCTCGACAAGAGGCCCACGACAGCAGGGCCGCCCAAGGCGGCAGCAACGCTCACGGCAACACCGCAGCCCGCCCGTGCGCCGACAATCTCAGCACATCAGCCCGCAGCCGCGCCGCGGCAGACAGGCATGCAAGGGCCCCCGCGCATGCCTCGGACACTCATCTATCATGACCCCCGCGAGCGGGCGGCGCCTACAATGGCGCATGGCAGCACGCAGGGCCCCACGACGGCGCTGAGCATCAAGCAGGAGGCACCCGAGAAGGAGCGGCATGAGAAATATATCCAAGGGAGGTTCGATGCACTTAAGAAGCTGCAGCCAACCAAACAGGAGAGCACCGCGCCGTCCGGCGCCGCTAGGGCCACCGCAGCGAAAAGCCCCTCGCCGTCAGCCCCAGCTGGGGTCGCGCCGCCGCCACGGGCCCCATCGGGATAACTTCTGCTCCACCTCCTCCTCCTCCTTCTCCTGATCCTGCCTCGTTCCGGGGCCGCTTCCTACTGGAGCTATGCCCTCCCTCCATCTCCCTCTTCCCACGGTTCCTGGGGCCGAGAATTATGTTTTGGACACTGACATGTTCAGACCAACGCTGGCGTGCGAGGTCAATCTTCCCCCCGCCCCCCCCTCATTCTCCTCCCAACTCCCCTCCTCCTCTAATCCCGCCAGCCCTCTGGGCGTCGGTGGTTCGGAGCGTTTCCTCTTCCACCCCTCCTTCCCCATTCGGGCAGGGTATTTCCCCTCCCCCTACCCCTTCCCCATGGACCTGGACATGGGGGTTCCGCGAGTCGTCGGGGCGTCTAGAACGGCCTCGGCGAGGAAGCCAACATCATTGGTGTTTGGCCCCATCCTGGCCTCCTCAGGGGGGGCCTATAATTAGGCCCCCCCCCTCCTGTGATCGATTTCGCCCAGGATGGCCCAAAGGTGGCACCCAAGGCTACCAAGGGTGCCCCAAGAGGGCCCCAAGTGGCCAGGACGCCCCAAGAGGCCCCCATGATGCCCCGAATAGGCCCCCAAGAGACCTCCAAGAGGCAAGAGACCCCCCAGAGGCACCCAAGATGCTCCAAGAGACCCCGGCGAGAATGCCAAATCATTGATGTTACTAAGGTTTGAGCCGCAGGTTGGCCCCTTTTGGGGGCATTGATTAAGATGGCTCCAAGAGCGCCTGGGGGAGCCCAAGATGACCTCCAAGATGGCTCAATATACCCCAAGATGTCTCATCATGGCCCCCGCGATGCTCCAAGATGCCCCACGACCGTTCCAAGACAAAGAGCTCCCCCTGGAGGCCCCGAAGAGGCCAAAACCTGAGGAGCATCTATGTGTTTGGCTTTCTCTCAATTTCGCTCCCGATGGCCATCCGGGGCCGCAAGATGGCTCCAAGACGGCCCAAGAGGGCCCCAAGAGAGAGCCCCAAGACGGCCCCAAGAGCGCTTAAGAGCGCCCCAAGAGCGCCCGAAGAGGCGATTTTGTTGGGCTCCCGAGGGGCAACGCTGACTAATGCTCGCTTCTCGTTTGATCGATGTCCTCCAAGATGGCCACAAGAACGCCCCCACGGCTTCCAAGGGCGCTTCAAGAGGGCCCCAAGAGGCGCCCAGGAGGCCCCGATAGGCGCCCAAGAGGCCTCCAATATGCTCCCAAGAGACGCGCCCCGAGGCACCCAAGACGCTCCAAGAGGCCTCCACTGGGGGGCCCTTCCTCTGCGTGCTGCCCACTTGCCTGATCGAGGCAATTCCTCTGGGCATCGGGCTGGTGGGGTTATGCGAAGCGTCTACGATTCCTCACTTCCTTTCCCCCCCCCTCCTCCAAGGTGACGCCGCAGCCGAAGCCGCCCGCGAAGCTGTCCCCGGGCGCCCTGGACAGCCTGCGGCGCCTCATCGAGTCGACTGCTGCGCGCGAGGGCATGGGCACGACCGAGGTCCTGCACGCGCTGGGCTACGGCTCGTCATCAGCAGCGTCCTCCAGCGCGCCACCTACCCCTTCTTCGCGCGTGGGCGGGCCCGTGACGCCCGCGCAGAATCGCGGGCGCCCCTCGCCCTCCAGTGCTCCTGGCCCCAAGGCCGCACCTGCAGATGATGAGTCGGGGGATCCGCGCGATGCGATGGGCGCCAGTGCCGGCAGCGCTTCTGTGGGCGGCTCGCGCATGGAGGATGATGAGGTGGAGCTTAGCGAGGACGATGTCGCCACGGGCGAGACCGCTGAGTCGGCCTCAGCGCAGACCGCCGAGCCCATCTTCGCGTAGGCGACGGTCGCGCCCACAGGTAGGGAGATCAGCGAGGGCGACGGCGAAGGCAAGGATGTCAACGCGGCAATGCAGGGCGGCAAGGGCGACGGCAAAGGCAAGGGTGTCAACGTGGCACCGCGGAGCGGCAAGGGCGGCGGCACAAGCAAGGATGTCATCGTGGCATTGCACAACGGCAAGGGCGACGGCAAAGATGGCAACGCCTATCACGTCGCGCCGCGCCCATCTGCCGCTGGAGACTTGCCCGACACTGTGGTGGGGACCACTAACGGTGACGTTCAATTGGCGCCAGAGGCGTTGAAGAAGTTGTAGGATGAGGAGAAAGCGGAATGGGTCATGGTGAACTCCAACACGCATAGAAATGACTACATGGTGTTCAGCAGGCAAATCAACGAGAAGAAGAAAAGGCCAAGCGAAGTTCCGGAGCACTTGATCGACAAGCTCAAGAACAACAAGACTGAATTGTTCCAAGCCTGGTACAACAGCGACAAGGACTGGGGCAACGTCTCGGCGCACTACAAGCGCATCAGGATCCGAGAGATTCGCAGCAAGATGAAATATGGCTCCCGGCATCGTGCCCAGCTCGTGGCGACGCGCGGCGACGGGGAGCAGGGCGCTTAGCGGGCGGAGAAGGTGATCGCAGACAAGTTGGCCAGGGGCTGGTGGAATTGGCACCCGGAGCTTCCAGGTCAAAGATGGCATTGGAAATCTCCTCACCCCTCCTCCTCCTCCTCCTCCTCCTCCTCCTCCTCCTCCTCTTCCTGATCCTCCTGGCCTTCCCTGATCCTGATCCCCCTGGTCCCCCTGGTCCTCCTGATCTTCTTCTTGCCCCTGATCCTCCAGATCTTCCGTGACCGCCCTCGTCGCCCTGATCCTCCTGATTCGTTTGATCCTCTTGATCCCCCCTCCAGGTCCTATCCATCCTGATCCTCTTCGACCCTCCCTCTTCTCCTCGTCCTCGTCCTCCTTCCTCTCCTTCCTCCGACCTACTCTTTATCCTCCTCCTCCCTCCTGCTGGCGACGAGGGCACGCGCCTCGCGTGGGTGTGGCTGGGGCAGGACTTGGAAGTCAGCGACATCGACCATCGCGAGCTGGCCATGGCATTGAATGCGGACTTCGACCCTGAGAGCGCTGCAGCCTTGTTTCTGGTGTTCAACGCTGAGCAGGTTGAAGTCAAAAGCCTCTCGGAAGGTGCAGTTGGAACGGCTATCAAGGACTCGGAAATCCCAAGTGGCCCGTTCGACCAGCCGGCTGCGCCCCATCCTGCCGGCGCTGGCGGAAGTGGCAGCGGCGCCGACGACGCAGGCGGCAAGGGCAGCAAAGGCAGCCAGGGCAAAGGCAAGGGCAAGAAAGGCAAGAAAGGCAAGGGCCCAAAATGCAAGGGCAAGAAAGGTAAGGGCCCAGCGCGAGAGAGGCCACTGAGTCCGACCGACCTCGCGAAGAAGTTCCTAACAAGCCTAACCAAATCTAAAGACGCAGCAGGGAATCTCAAGATGAAGATGCACGGCCGCAAGTTCCCAGAGGAGACCTTGAACAACTTAACCAAGATGGTAGATGACCTGGCAGCAAGCTCGCTGGAGACCAAAGAACTCATCGCCAATGACTGTGACGACCCGGATGCATGCGCCACGAAGATGAACGCTGCTGAGAAGATCTAGGCGGACCACCAACTGATGCGCGACATGGCCAAGGGGTCCTACGACGCGCTCACCCGGGCCCAGAACAAGGCGAAGGCGCCCAACAAGGACCATGAAGAGGATGAGGACGAGGAGGAGGAAGAGCTCGAGGATGGGTACGTTGAGACAGCTGCCGGCGGAGCCTAGGGCCGCGCTCACGGTTTGAGCTGGCTGATGCCATAGTGACGTCCAGAGTGGGGTTCTGGGCGGCCCAATTTGCGTCAGGAGGTCGCCGCGGGGAGACCTCCTGACGGCCTTGTTGGAGCACATTCGGTGATCTTGTAATCTACATGTTACTGATTTCTGGTGGTCTGGAAGTCTGTCCCAAGCGATGTTCGGTGATCCTGAATTCCGATTTCAGTTGTTCTGAATTTTCAAGTTAGTGATATTCAGAGATCTAGAATTTTGGTGTTAGTGATTTTCGGTGACCCCGAATTCAGAATTTAGCGACCTGATTTTTTGGTGTTAGCGATGTTCGAGGGTCCAGAATTCTGAACGTTGCTGGTTTCTAATTCCTGGTTCCTGGTTCCCTGGCTCCCTGCGCGCTCGCACGTTCTGGTCCCCGTGGGCTGTCGAGGGCCTTCCGAACTCTAGCTTAGCGCAGCGCAGCCAGACGGATGATGAGGGGGATGCGGGCGAGGGCGAGGAGGGGGGGGGGGGGGGGGAGGGCTGCTCCACCGCCCCGTCCGCTCGCACTCCAGCCATTTTGGCTAGCATGGCGGCGCCCCTCGCCTTCTCCCGCCCCCTCTCGCCCCTCGACTCCCTCTCGTCCCTCAATGCCTTCGGCGACCCCGCGGTGCCGCGCCGGAGCCTGGTGGCCCTGGCGGCGGCGCTGGGCGCCGACGAGCAGGCCCGCCCCATCCACCCCCCCCTCCATCCACCGCTGCCGCGGCTGCTGCTGCCCCTCCTCCTTCGTTTCATTTACCTCCACCCTCCATTGACTTCCCGCTCCCACCCCCCACCCCTGCCCGCGCCCCCCTCATTCCCTACTTCCCCCCGCCTCTTCTCAGTCGAGTCCTGCCGCGACCCCGCGTACCTCGCATGCCGCGCCCTTTCTCTTCCCCCCCCTCCTCAACCACCTCCTCCTCCTCCCCCTCCTCCTCCAGATCTCCAGATGCATCGCGCTTCTCGAGGCGCTGGGTCGACCCCACCGCACCGCTCGTTTCGCCATCGCCACTGTCATCAGCATCATCATCATCACCACCATCATCATCATCTTCATCATCAGCATCACCGTTAATCACACCATCCGTAGTCATTTTTGGCTTTCGCCGCTCTCGCCTCTCGCCGTGAGCATTCGCGCGCCACGCGTCGCGACGCCGCGCCCGCCTGCTCGCGTCGCGGTGGGCGCGGTCGACACCGTGGCTGGGGGGGCCATCGTGCACGCCGAATTCGACAAGGTGGACGTGGCCGACAGGGCGGTGTTGGAGGATGCCGTGCCCACCGAATTCAGACCGCCGCCCTGGGCACGGCGCGGCGCGGCGAAGGCGCGGCGGCGGCGTGCCCGCCACCGGCGCCGCCGCTATCGTTTCACGATGCGATGTGCTTCGCGCGTTACCGTCGCCACTATCGTGGGCTCCGTCTGGGTTGTCGTCGGCATCATCGTCGTCCTCGTCGCTGTCCCACGCTGCCGCCACCGCCGCTCCCTCGCCCCCCTCCTCTCCCCACCCTCGCCTCTACCGCCGCCCCGCCGCCCAGCTCAGGCCCCGCGGGCGCGCAGGGGGCGAGGGGGGCGGATGAAGAAGGAGATGAGGAGGAGGAGGACTCGCACACGGGACTGCCGATGGGGCCCTTCCAACCTCCGTCTCTGACTCCATCGGCGACGGAGTCAGAAACGGAAGTTGGAGGGCTGGAGGTTATGCTGGCGAGGTCGCCGACGCCGCGGTCGCTGCCGCTAGTTCGTCCGCCCCCGTCTTGGGCCCCATCCCGCCCTCGGCCCCCCCTCAATATCCGCCCTGCGCCCTGTCCCGTTGCCCCGCCTGCCCCGCCCTCGCCAAGCCCCAGGGGGGGGCCGTCTCGTGCATCGAGCGTTGGTGATGATCACTGCTACGCTATATGCATTGCTGTGCTGCGTCTTGCTGCCTTGTTATGCTATGCCATGCTGTGCTATACTACTATGTTATGCTCTGCCCTGCCATGCCATGTTATGTCATCGCCGCGAATCACCCACATTCGCACGTAGCGGACCTGGTGCAGCTCGTGTTGGGCGTCGCCGAGCACCGCGCGCGCGACGGTGGTCGCGGCGTCGCGGGGAACGTGCGCCACGCGCGCGCGCGTGCTTGGGTGATGGGCACGCGCGCGCTGAGTCGATCCTTCAGTCGATTCTGGAGCCGATCATCAGCATCATCATCATCATCCATCGACCGTCATCGTCATCGAGTGCCCCGACGACGACTGCGGCGGTCGCGACGACGCCAAAGCCGAATTCGGTGGCGAGGCTGACGGCGGCGGCGTCGACGCCGACGCTGGCTTGGTGGGAGCACTGGGAGCGCGGCCGTGATGGAGGGTGAGGATGTGCATGAGAAGGATGAGACGGGTGCCGATGATGACGATGGCCCGCTCCTCCCACCTCTCCCTCCCTCTCTCTCTCTCTCTCTCTCTCTCTCTCTTTCTCTCTCCTCTCTCTCTCTCTCTCTCTCTCTCTCTCTCGTCTCTCTCTCTCTCTCTCTCTCTCTCTCCCCCTCATCCCCCTCTCTCTCTCCCTCCGCTTTTTTTTACAATATATATATAATATATATATAACTCTAATATATATGTAACTATCTCTCCTCCCTCTCTCTCTCTCTCCTCTCTTTCTCTTTTCTCTCTCTCTCTCTCTCTCGCTCTCTATCCATCTCTCTCTCTCTCTCTCGCTCTCTTCATCTCTCTAACTCTCTCTCTCTCTTCGTCTCTCACCCTCCTCTCACTCTCTCTCTCTCTCTCTCTCCCTCTCTCTCTCTCTCTCTCTCTCTCTCTCTCTCTCTCCCTCTCTCTCCCGCACTCCTCCCTCCCCTCCCTCGCTCGTCTCCTCCACTGTCGCCTTGGCTCCTCCTTTTGTTGCTTTCCTCAGCTCCACCTCCATTGATTTTCCCTCCTTACTCCTCGCATCATCTCCTACTCCTCGCCACCCTTGCCGCCTCGCCCCACCTGGGTTCCCACCTGCATCCCCCGGGCCCCCCATCGAGCCCCCCCCGCCTCGCCGTGGCGCGCCCATCCCCCCGCCCTGACGGGGCGCCGCCGCGTGGCGCGCCGCTGCGGCGCTGGCGGCGCCGGCGCGGGCGCGGAGCTGGCGGCGGCTCAGCGCGGCCTGGCAGCGGGCTTAATGCTCGGGGTTGGACAGACCTCCTACCCTGACAGCCCTGACACGTTGATTAAGGAATTGTCCGTTTTCGGTTCGCGAGAGGGCGTCGCAGCCGTTATCTTAGCGGGCCCACGTCCGTCGATTTCGGTCCCAGGCCGTTTTCACTGAGGGGAGGTCTACTAAAGAGAGGTTTGTCCACCGCCGAAATGCGCGGCCACGTGAATGAGGGAGCTCAGAGCCGAGGCTCAGAGCTCCTGGGGAGAATCGACAATGATTGAGGACGGGGATGGGATGTGTGGGTGATGGAGGAGGGGCGAGGCATGATGCCGATGAGACTGATGAGTGGGTGCACGCTATCGCCGTTCCGCCCCTGATCAGCCCACCCCACCCGCCCGCCCTGCCCACCCTCATGTGGGGCTCTTAGGTTGCCTCTTGGGCTGGGGGATGCAGTCCATGCCCCGAGAGGCCCCTGGAGTTCCTGGAGTTCCTGTGGTACCTGGATGTCCTCAGTCCCCAGTCCATGGGGGGGGGCCCTTGTCCTGGAGTACATGTCAGTGTGTCTTCCTTTAATCGCTAACTATCCTTCCTCTCTACGCTCTCGCCCGTCCTCCTCCTCCACTCCGCTCCTGATTTTTTTGTTGCGGCCTCCTGCGCGTCCACCTCCCACCCTCTTCCTCGTCGACTCGTCGACCTCGGCGCTCGGCTGCGCCGAACCGAGTTCGACCGACACTCGGTGGGCGCTTTCGCGATTGACATCGTGGACGACGTGCTGGTCGACTCGGCGCATGGCGCATCCTTTCACTCACCTCACTCACCCCCTCTGCCCCCTCTACTCCTCTGCTCTGCTCAACCTCGGCTCCGCCCCCCCCCCATTACCTCCCAGGCCTGTCACCTCTCCCCCACCACTCCCTCCACCTCACCCCACCTCCTCTCCTGTGGCCGCTGTGGTTGACCTCGCCGCCTCTCGCGTCGCCTCCTCCCCGCCGCGGCCGCTGTGCCCACAACCTCGCCATTTCGTCACCGCCTCCCGCCTCCTCATTATGACTACTCGTTCCCCCTGGGCCCCTGCCCCCACATGCCCATCCCCGCCCCCCCCCCCCCCTTCGTGTCAAATTTCCTTGTCCACGTCAGTGGGCCCCCCCACCCACTCGCCTTCCCCCTCCCCTCCTCCTCCTCGTCTTTCTCGCCCTCCTCGTCCGCATCCCCCTCCTCCTCGTCCTCGTCCTCATCCTCGTTAGCTTCGCCTCCTTATCCGATAATCCTCGCCCCCTCATCCTCCTCCGTCCTCCACCTCGCCCTCTTCCCTCCCTCGGTCACGCTGCGGATGCAGCCGATGGGTCGCGCGTTGCTGACGCGCTTGGCCTTTCAGCTCAAGCTGCGCATTATTGATCGCCGAGCGGCGCGCCCGCCGCCTGCTGGAGCTGGAGATGCAGCCGCTTGGGCGATTGCGACCGCGCCCTCATCGCCGGCGCCATCCACGCCATCGGTGCCCGCCAGGTCGCGCTTTGGCATCGCGGGCGCCATTGCCCCGCTGGCAGCGCGTCGTCGCGCTGCTCGGACCGAGCGCCGTCTCGATGATGCCAGGCGCACAGTGCGGACACTGCAGAAGCGGCCCGCTCGCCAGCACGCCACAGTCGGGCGGCTTCAGCGGCGGATCGAGCAGCTCGAGGGCGGCGTCGGCGATCCGCTCGCCATTTCGAAGGTGGGGTCGCATCAGTTAAGCTGGAGTCCCACTGTTGCGATGGGCCTGCGTCGCAACCTCTCCACCATATCGGCCGCCGATTTTGGAGCAGTGACGCTGCTGGGCGTCTCGAGGCAGACGGTCTGCAGATCAGAACGCCTCGTCGGCTCGTGCATCGCGGCGACCAGCCGCCAGTTCTTCGAGTCGTGGCGCCTTGCCCTGCCATCGTTCCTGCGGTCCTCCGCGCCGCCCGACCCTCAGTCCATCGTCGACGTCTACTCGTGGCGACAGGACGCAACCAACTCGGGCGTGTGGCGTCGTCAGAAAGTAGCAGCGCTCGAGGCAGAGGCCTTCGTGATGCTGAATCCTCTCCCCAGGACCTCCACTCGCACATGCCAGATGTGTGAGGTATCCAGCTACGTCTGGCGGCTCTCAGATATCCAAACAGTGTCGCTCCTTGGTTGCACGGGCGAGTTCACGCACAGGCTGGTCGTCAAGCAGTTGAAGGCGCTGGGCGTCCATGTATGGGAAGAGTGTGGCACGAACGTTGCTTACGATGCCTGCGCTCGCGCGTGCCTGACCACGACCGACCAGGGGTCGGGCCAGATCAAGGCCCGCCGCATCATTGCCATCCTGACAGCGCCGATGCCCAACGTGATCTTTTTTGATCACAGCTGCCTCGAGCGCGTCGTCCACCTGATCATCGGCCAGGCATTGAAACTCGCCGACCGGTTCCTCAAGGAGTGGGCCCGTTCGTTGCGCTGCTACTCGACCGTTGCCATATGCGCCAACGTGTGGCGCGACGCCGCGCGGCCCATCTACTTGTGGTGGATCGACGCGTGTGGGCCGACGGATGCTAAGGCTCGTGCGTCCAAGCTGTGCCCCAAGGCCTGTTCGGCACGATGGGGCGCCGTGGAGTCAGTTGAGGCACGGTTGAGCGCTGTCGCCGGGATGCTGCACCGCGCGTTCGTCGATGCGTTGAATAAGGGCGCCGCCGCCAGCGGCGCTGCGGCTGCAGCCGCGCCCGTGGACGACGCAGCGCCAGCTGCAGCTGCAGAGGCTGCTGTTGCATTCGAGCCAGTTCTCGCGGCAGGCATGGGCGCTCGTCGGCGACCTGTCCGCCGATAGCGCCAGTGCGTGGACCGCAATGCTCGGCCGCTGGCGCAAGCAAGCGGAGCTGACGACCTCAGACCTGTTGTTCTGGGGCATGCTCAAGTGTAACTTGTGGAGCAGGTCGGTGACTACCCATGCGAGCTGCTTCCTGAAATCTAAGGGTCGGCAGCACCTCGCCGAGCTTGCGTGTGGCAAGGCTGCCACGGCGTGCAAATCCCTTCCCCATCATCGTCATCTGTCGTCCGCCGTGGATCGCCGTGCCGTCGTATCGCATCGTCGCGTCGCGTCGTCGTCGTCGTCGCGTCGTCACGTCGTCACGTTCGTCGCTCGTCGACTCGTCGGCGTGACCTCACTCCTGGCCCTGTCCCAACCCTAGAGACCTCCTTGATAGGGGTTCGAGCAGATGGGGTCGGATCAGATGATCTCGCCGCGTCGCCGATGCATCGGTCATGCACTGTGCCGCCGATGCATCGGCGGTGCATTGGCAGCGTCGGCGATGCATCGGCGACGGCGGCGTGGAGATACGCGGGCCCCACATCGAGCAGCATCGGCGATGCATCGGCGATGCGCCGGCACGCGACACGATCCTCCGACTCCGACCCCATCTACTCCGACCCCCATCCATGAGGCTTAGAAACCCGCGCCGCCGCAGGCTGCCAGCCTGTTCGGCGAGTACGACGAGCTGCTCAACTCGCACCCGTGGCAGGACCTGTTCGGCAGCATGTCCGAGGACACTTGGCCGTTCCGAGCCCTCCCCCCACGTCTCGTCGATCGCCCCCTACCCTATCTCCTCCAACCCTCCCCTCACTCCGTCCTCGTCACCTTGTCACACGTCTGTCTGCATCCGCTACCTGGGGCCACCGCCCACATCCCGTCTCGGTGTGACCTCCATGGAGCCTCCGTCCAGTGAGCTCGCCACGCGTGTTCATTCTCGATCTAACCCCTGTCACAGGACGACAGCATCAAGCTGAACTCATTTGCCATCGCCAACCTCATGGTCCACGCTGGCGGATTTTGGCGAAGGGTCGATGAACCGGCAGTCGCATGGCCATATCGAATGTTTGGCTTGATATTCGGAGGCGATCAGTTGCAGGACGCGCTGCTGCGACGTCAGACGGCGCGCGACCTCCTGGAGACAGACCCCCTCGACATCGACATCGGGGCCCGCAAGCTGCGTGCCGCGTTCACGCGCGACATCCAGGTCGTTCATCATACAGGGACATGCCCGCCGAGGCTGTGGCACACGCTCTCTGCCGCGTCACTTGCGCGGCGCCCAGACACACGAGAGAACGAATCGATCAACAAGACGATCTCTTTGATCAGCGATCGCGCCCCGAACGTGGGCCTGGACCTCCTCAGCGCCAGGTGCACAACCAAGCACGCCATCGGCGCCCTCGCTGTTTCAGATGACGCACGCGGGCGCCGCGATGCAGCTCGTCAGGTCTGAGTGCTGTCCTCCACTCCCCCACTCCTCCACTGATCCGTTCTGCCACCACTCTGACCTTCAGTTCCCCGCACTCGCACCCCTATCGGATAAGGGTGCGAGTCCCTATCTTGAGGATAGGGGGATAGGGACGCGAAGACCGGAAGGAATATCAGGAGGTTAGAGTGAGGAGTCCAGTGAGGCGGGGTGAGTCTATCCTCGCACTCACCGCCGGTGAGTGCGAGGATAGACTATCATCCCACCGCGCACCCTCGCGCTCACCTTCCCACTCATCCTCCTCTCCTCATCCCACTCCTCTCACGTATCCCGCGCCCCGCTCCTTCTCAGCAGGTTGCGGAGCTGTGCGGCCGTGTGTCGGACGCCTCGCTGGCTGCCATGCGCAACGACGCACCGCGCTGGTCACCGCTGCCCGCTGCTGATGGGCCGCTGATCGACCCGACCATCAACATGGCGTCTGTGCTGTGTGGTCTGTACCCCGACATGCGAGTGAATGCTCGTCGGGCATGGAGCGTGGCGCACAATGCAGTGTTCAGCCAGATATGGAAGCTCCAGCCTGCCGGCATGTCACTATGCTTCGGTTTCGGCGAGTCTCCCCAGCACGGATGCCCTCTATGGGTCAGCGTGGAGCGCCATCGTAGCCGCCACGTCTTCTGCCAGCTCACCTTTGACGAGCCGAGTATGTGCGCTCACCTGGTTCGCCCGCTGTCGGTGATTCGATCGGTGCGGTTGTTCGACGCGTTCTGCGAGGCAGTTTCTTTGAGCGACGCCCCTGTGGTCATGAAGTGCTTCCGCCTGACATGGGGCCGCCGGGCGATGCAGACTGCGCCGCTGTCCGCGCTGGACGACGTCAGCCTCGTGTTCAGGAAGCTCTAGCGAGCTGCAGCTGCACCCGCTGCGGGGCCGCCGCCATTGCCAGCATCGCCATCGCTTGCTAGTGGCGCCGCTCATCCCTCGGCGGCTGGCGACCCCGACGACCCCTTGGGCGACGCGCTCGCATCCAAGATGAGCGACGACGGCATCGACGAGGTTGCCTTGATGGCGAGCGACGCCGTGGCCACTGAGATGGCCGCTCAGCACTGCGCCGTCGACCTGGCCGACGCCGACGTCGACTCCGCGCCCACCGCTGTCGACCGGGAGTTTGCCCGTCTGTCGAGGCCAGTACTGTTCCCGAGGACAGCTCAGCTCATATCCGTCATGCCGTAAATCCTCGTAGCCACTCCTCGCTCTCATGCTCCCACACCTCTCACCCGTGCTGCATGCCCCCCCCCCCCCCCTGCTCTTGCTTATGCTACTGCGGATGCGGATGATGGATGGCTGCTATGACGACGAGGCGGAGGATGATGAGGCTGCACACTAGGATGAGTTATGAGGGGCAGTTGACGTGTGGACGTGGGGTGGGCACGGTTCGGAGATGGGCTGAGCTTGATTGCGCTACCTCCAAGGACCTCCAGCGGGAGCTCGACCACGCCGCGCTCGGGCCGGTGATCCAGGATGCGGCAGCCGCTGGCGTGGACATCGTTGCTGCAGCTGCGGACGCATCTGCAGGAGACCCCACTGCAGCCACCGACCACCTGTTCGAGGCAGCCGTGTTCAGCGGCATCGATAGCATGGCTGCGGCGCCCGACCCACCGCCGTCGCACGTTCTCACGTTGGAGGATGCGCGCGTAGCGCTGCCATCCTGGCACGATGCACTCGGCATCAGCATTGCCGCATTACAGAGTCGTCGGCGCGCGTGCGGTGCCGACGTGGGCCAGCAGGGGCAACTGTCAGTCATGTCAATCTCTAGGGCCGATGCAGCTAGCAGCGGCTGCCACCGTCGTGTATGCTACGTTCACTGGGTGCAGGCCCGCGCGTGCTATGGTAAGCCAACTGTTCTCAAACCCGATGGCAGCGTGGTGCATCTTCGTAGCGCCAACGTGAAGCCAGTCTATATGAAGACCTCTGGTATCGTCTGGCCTGCCATCGGGCTCACGTTGCACACCTGTGACAAGGGTGCTATTGTGAGTGCGCGTGTCCAGCGTTGTCATGCCATGTGGACGGCCGCGCTGGACAGAGAGTCGGTTGTCGACGCGCAGAATATCATGCATTCTCCGCTCGTCGGTGCCGACGAGTCTGCCCTTGACCCGTGCACTGGCTGTGGCGGCACTGACAGTCCAGCCGCGTTAGTACAGTGTGCGATTTGCCTGCGCCACTGGCACCCCTCTTGCGCTGCGCGCGTGGTCGAGCTGATGAGCGACGCTGTGGAGGGCCACCGCACTTCTTTTGCTTTCAAAGAGGTCCCACCCGCATTGCTCGCATGGTCGCGCAAACTCTGCGCGGCGGTCGTTCGCGCTCTGCCCGCCGAGGCGACCGCGAGCATGCCCGCGCCAGCCAATTCATCATAACGTGTTACCTCTCGTCCCGGACCGCTGGTTTCGCGCGTCCCGGACACGTTCAGAGGAGAGGGTCAGGGAGGAAGGAGGACGGTGACCACGCTGCGGATGTGGGGGTGGCGGGGTGGGCGATGCGGGCGGAGCTTTTCACGGGCGGATCGCTTTGCAGGGGCAGAGCGTGCTCCGCGCAGCCATCGACAATCCAGCGCGTGCTCGGTGTCGCGGGCCATCGCGCTTGATGCGTGCCATCATCATTCGCTCATGCTCTATCGCCTGTCCGCCTGTCTGCGCATCGGTTCTCAGAGCTCACCTGGTCAGGTGACGGCACCGCTTCGCTCGCGTTCCTGCGTGCGTCACAGTTTCGGGTGGATTCTGTCACGTCAGCACCGTTCAGCACAGCGCCATCTCAAATACCATTGGCGACAGCCCATCCGCGCCCCCCCCCTGCGCGTGCTCTGTCGTAGTCACCCCAATGGACCGCTACGACTCGTAATTCGTAGTGGTCCATCGGGTGGACTCTGCGTGTGATCGGGTGCACGTGTGACCCTTGAGAGCTCCGAAGAACATCGCACCACCCCCATGCGCATACGCCATACTCAGTACCATACTCTGCTCTCGGACATTGACGGCGTGACGTCGCATGCATGGTCGCATCGCTGTCTCCTGTCAGAACCTATATGTCAGGAGCTACCTCCTGACGTACCCTCGCTGTCAGGAGGTGCCTCCTGACGCCCCACATATGTCAACAATCAGTTCCTGATGTATCACATCTGTCAGGAAGGACCTCCTGACACACCCGCGTTGTCAAGACGTGGTTGTCGACAGAGTCGTTGCGACAAGAGGTGGTTCCTGACGGCGCATTGCCGTCGGGATGTGTTTCCTGACGCGGCTGGTCTGTCAGGCTGCGCTTGATGCCGCAGCCTCTATGACGGGATGTGTCTCTTGATATATCACGCATGTCAGGAAGCACTTCCTGACACCTTCTCTCCGTCAGGATGCACCTCCTGACATGTCGTTGTCGTCAGGAGGTGCCTCCTGACAGGACGGTTCCGTCAGGAGGTGCCTCCTGACAAGCGGTGTCTGTGTCAGGAGGTGAGTCTTGACGGACGGCACTCTGCCAGGAGGTGCCTTCTGACGGATCGCACATGTCAGGAGGCACCTCCTGACGCGCACCACCTGTCAGGAAACACTTCCTGACGACGCAGTCCTGTCAGGAGGTACCTTCTGACAGATCGCATCTGTCAGGAAGCACCTCCTGACACGTACGATTATGTCATAAGGTATTTCCTGACTTAGCGGTTCCGTCAGGAACCACCTCCTGACATAGGGGTACCGTCAGGACGCGCTTCCTGACGATATATCATCGTCACGAGGCACCTCCTGACGGACCACACCCGTCAGGAAACACCTCCTGACAGGCCAACTCCGTCAGGAGGCACATCCTGACACGATATGTATGTCAGGCACCACCTCCTGACATAACGATCCCGTCAGGAAGCACCTCCTGACATATTGGTGTCGTCAGGAGGCGCTTCCTGGCGATATATTATTGTCAGGAGACACCTCCTGACGGGTCACATATGTCAGGAACCACTTCCTGACACATCATCCCCGTCAGGAGGTGCATCTTGACAACACATGTTATGTGAGGAAGTACTTCCTGACGTAGCGGTCCCGTCAAGACGCATCTCCTGACAGAGGATTGTCGTCAGGAAGCGCCTCCTGACGTGTCCTATCTGTCATGACATACATTCTGTCATACGCCCTATGACAGGAAGTACCTCCTGACAGTGCCTTTCTGTCAAGAAGTACCTCCTGGCAGACCCTATACGTCAGGACGTGCCTCCTGATGTAACCTCTCTGTCAGGAGGTACCTCCTGACGTACCACATATGTCAGGAAGCACCTCCTGACGTGTCACACATGTCAGGAAGTACATCCTGACATACCCCAGCTGTCAAGAGGCATCTCCTGACGCATACCTCACATCATGGGATGTGTCTTGGCAGAACCACCCTTACATAGCGTGCCCCCCTGACATACGATGCCTGAAATGAATTATACATGCCATACCATGTCTATCACACATCATCTCCTACCATGTGTGCATGACACACCACCATCGCTCCACATATACATGTTATTCGATATGGTTGCATCGCCGTGACAACTGATCCACGTGTCAGTCACATCGTGCACAGATCAGTTCACGCATTCGTGTCTCGCACATTTGCACTGGTTCACATCACGCACGCGGTATGCCACGCTATATAAATGCACCACTCGTACATTGTATGCGCCGCAACCTATCACATGTATGCGGCGCTGCCTCCATTATAACCCAATGGTGTGGAGGGCGGGTGTGGTTTCGTGACAAATATGCCACCATCGATGTGATGTCTGGGCCTACGGGCTCGGTGAGATGTCGGGGCCTACGGGGCTCTCATGATCGCGGCGGGTGTGCGTGATGACTACATTTGCAATAATGAACATTAGGTCTGCACGCCAACACACGTCCGTAGCCATGTTGGCTTAGTCGTGCAGGCTTGCTAGCATGGGCAAGCGCGGCGCGACCCCGACATCGGAGCCGCGTCGATGTCTTCGCACAGCGACTGGCAAGGCTGCCAGTAAGTCCCGAGCCAAGGCCACAGCAGGTCCAGCACGGCTGACAGCGACGTGGCTGATGGAGCTGATCAGCCATCGGACCTCGTTCACCCGACGGGCGTCGTCATGCCGAAGGCATCTCCAGCTCCAACGTCACCATCGCTGGCGAAGAGCTTCGGGCTGGTGACCCGCGAGGGCATGACTGCGATGTTCGGCGAGGGCGGTATCACTACCGACATGATGCACGAGGATAGGCAGATCTGGCGTGAGCTGAAGCGCACCGCTGTGGATGTGGTGGGCCTGCCACCAGCTCCATCTACAGTCATTTCTGTTGATGGAGATGGAGACGAGTGCGCGTCGGCGCAGCCCGCTGCATCACCGTCCGCCACCGAGCAGGCCGAGCTGGCCGCCGCCAACGCTGCAATCGCTGCAATGGAGGCCGCTGAGGCTGGCTGCAGTTCGACAGCAGCACCGTCAGGCGTGGTCCGATCCAGCGACCCCGCCGCTGCAGCTGAGACCCCGCCTGTGCCATGTGTATCGGCCTCGTCGCCGGGTGCACCATCGCAGCCGCCGCCCCCTTCGAGCAGCCCTGCTGCGCCGTCAGCTATGCCACCTCCTACGGCGGACTCCTGTCAGACCGCGATGTCGGCTCCGTCATCTACTGGGCCTCGTGCACTCACCGCAGAGCATCTCCGCATCATCGAGGGGAAGCGCCAGGAGGCTCGACGGCGTCGGGCATCTCGCCTTCCACCGCCGCCTCCACCCGCCGATCATCATCATCCGGATCTACCAGGACCCGCTGCTGCTGCTGATGAACCTGTTGCGCCATCCACGCCGCGCGCCGTGCAGCACGTGTCCGCCGATGTCGATGCATCGCAGCCGCAGTCGCAGCAGTCGC